AGCAAATAATCCTCTACCTTAGTTTCACTCACTGAGGATTTCCTCCACACTCCATTAATGCTCAAGAGTGCCAACCCTTTTACAAGAAAATGGGTTTCACTCAATCTCACCCTAAACCAACTAACCTCACTACGCAATTACTCTTGAAGGAGTAGATCACACCCCAAGAAGTCACTCACAAAATAATGGTATAGAATTACAACAAAAGATTACAAAATGATCAAATATGTAAGTGCAAGTACAAAGAATTGAATGTTTGTAAGAAATAGCTCAATTAGGTTGTTGGAATTACTTCAATGAAGTTTTAAGAAACTCTTAAGGTTGTCCACCAACCATATTTACCTTTCTTAAGTCAAAATTAGCCATTAGGAACTACTAGATTACATTAAATGCACTATAGACTCGTTAGATTCAAAAAAAATAGTCATTACCATACAGTTAAGAGTCGAATATGCAAACCAAGAGTTGAATCTATAAAGCCTAGATTTGACTCATCAAACTAAGAGTTGATTCTTTAAGAAATTCTAGGACTTGGGAAATTTTTCCTTCCCCAAGCCAAGAGTTATATCCAAGAAGTGAGAAGAGTCGAATCTTTAGCACCCAAGAGCCAAATCTACAAATGGATAGTCAATTCTATCCTACACCTCAAAGTCCTCTGAACTCTCTGGAATTGGGAGTTAAATCTTGCCCTCTAAGAGTCAAGTTTAGCAAGTCCAAGAGTCAAATCTTCATTTAGAGAATCAGCTCTTCATTGTGTTGAACCTTTTCTTCATATTTTGCTCTAGAGTCAAATTTTAGGTGCAAGAATCGAATCTTCTTGCTTTAAGAGTTAAATATAAGACTTTATATTCAACTCTTTAACCTAGTTCTATAATTCTTCTAGGTTTTCTTTGAACCATTTTAGAGTTATTTGATTGCACTCATAATCTCAAATTCATTAAATATCACAAAGGGTTTTGGTATCATCAAAATCACTTAGAGTTCAACATATGCAAGGGTGTCTAGCTATAACTAGGGATGACCTCACGTAATAGCCAATGGAAAAAGTAGGGAGTTTAGCTTGTTCTTTTTGGCCTTATGTAGTTTGAATTGCTTGAGTGAAGGTATCCTCATAATCACCCATAAAGGTGGCTATTGATGAAAGTTAAACTATGTAGGATGGAAATTAAATCCTCAAGGTTAGAGCAATTGGCACTATATTATAAAAAAAAAAATTATTAAGTAATAAGATACCTTAATATCAAGGACTTATACTCGTGGAATAGTTAATATTATGTGATTTGATATAATTTAAACTATATAATACTTTTTCTTTACTTTTTTTATTTAAAACTCAACAAAAAAAAGATAAATTCTTTTATATAATGGGATGTGAGATACTATGTAATAAGTAATATTTTTATCCATAAGTATCATATCAGTAGGGGTGGAACTTGAACCCCACATCTCTAGCTAGTATGAGAAGGCGTTAATAGCCACTGGCCACAAGGTCGTTCTTGCCCTCACAACCATTTTAAACTAGATAAATAACTTAACATTTAATGTGTGACAATGTTATATGACATTAACTTTTTGTTAAAATAATATTTGTGTGTTAATTTTATCCATGTTGGTGATGTCATGGACCCTTCCCCTAATTTTCAATTGTGGTACTTGCATGAAAAATACTTTTTTTATATTTAAACATAAAAGTGAGTCTTTAAATAAATTATTCTCTCTATTTAAAAATAATTATTGTTTTTTAACTTTTTTTAATTAACTATTTATGAACAATTTATATATTTACCTTTATTATACTAAAAACTCAATTTTCATTTAAAAATGGTTATTTTAATATTTTTTAATAAAAATTTATTGAAACGATATTGTTTTAGGATTTTGTCACATAATTTTTTAAAGATCCAATTGACAAATACTTTTCATATAAAATAAAATAAATAGAAAAAATATGATATTAAATAATTAATTTATAAATATTTTAATAAGTTTAAGAAATATTTTAATACT